CAGGCCAACAGCTGAGCTCAGGTTCAGGGTAGGCTAGGTTGAGGTAGAGACCAGGCTCAAGAAAATTAAATAACTGCAGAATGTTCAACTCCAGGAGGACAGAGCAGCGCGGGAAGCTGCTCTCCCCAGATACGGCTAACCCAGTTTCGTGCGTCGTATCGCTCACTCACGCTGATCGATGGTGACGGTAGCAATCTGTCCGGACTGCTCCTGGCTGGCCAGCACGTCTGTGGACAGGAGCAGGGCAGTGTTAACACCGGGAAGGAATGAGGGATCTCTCCGTCGCCCCCTTCCCCCCCCCTCCAGTGCCTCCCCCTCCTCTCACATTTGCGCAGCAGCTCCAGGTGGCTCCACAGGATCTCCCCGTGCGGGACGCGCTGCAGGAAGTCCTCCTGCGTCAGGCTGCAGAGCTCCCGGCCCGCGATGTGGATGCCCGACACGTCCACGTCCAGCATGCCGAACTCCTTCATCACCCACATCGCCCAGTGGATCACCTGGTCCGCTGTCCACTGCACCGGATCTGGGGGGGGGGGATTGGAGTGTGGCGTCAGTCCCTGGCACCCGTCACAGCTCGGGGGTAGGGGTACACTTCCTAGAGAGCCCCTCTGAGGTGAAAGAGAACAGAGACCACAACCGCCAGCAGTGGGAGAGTGGGAGGGGGAGAGATCCCGTTCGGGGAAGCCTATCCCGGGATGCGCACTCACCGTAGGGGATGCCCAGGCGCACCTGCTCCTTGCGGTAGCCCTCGAGGGCAGCAGCCCAGCGGGTCACCTGCTCCGAGGTCTCGTCAGCCACCAAGGCGCCGCCCACCGTCTGCGAGCCGTCCAGCGTGATCACCTGCCCGTCCTCCACCAGCTGCGTCTCCTCAGCCATCCCCGCCGGCGCGTCCGGGTCGATCACCACCTCCACCGTCTCCACCGGCTTCACGATCTCCAGGATGTTCAGCCGGGGCTCCACTCCTGGGGGAGAGCGACAAGGGGGGGAGGAGGCGGTGAGCTAGGACGAGGCAGAGAATGGAGGTCCACGGAGATGGGGTACATACAGAGCAGGACCGCATGGGGGTTACCTTGCCTGGAGATGACCTGCACACTGAGCTGGACCGTACCATCGGTCTTCACCCCCTGGTCAAACAGGCTGAAGTTGGGGTCCAGCTGGACAGAGAGAAGGTCGGTTAGCAACGACAGACCCACGCGCACACGCAGTAACGCCCGCATTGAGAGACACCAACGTGCAAGAAGAGGAAGCGCTGGTGACAGTACCTGGATGTCCTGCAGACAGATCTCATGGTCATCTAAAGAGCACTGGAGGCGGGGCTCCAGCAGCTTTTTGAGGTTTCCGATTGGCTCGTTGATGTCTATGGCCTGCGTGACAAACTCTGCCGTGGTGATGGTCTGCTCCACAATCCTGCAGGGCAGACAGACCGGCGAGCCGTTAAATGACATAACCTGGAGAGGGGTGTTAAAAGCTGGCAAGGTAATTAAACAATAAAGCTAAACGAGATGACTTCAACAGAAAGCTCTAAGACCCTCCACCAGTTTGGTGCAATCCTTACCCTGACCTTCCAGCGCCCGGGTACGAATCCCAACCCTGACCCTCCAGGGCTCGGGTACGAGTCCCAATCGTAACTCTAAACTCCATAGGCAGCAGTCAGAGACTCTACTATCAGTGCTCAGGGGTGACGGAAAAACACTAAATAACAAGTGTGTATCTGATCACCCGATATGT